TTTTGCACAGAAATTAATGCCTCATAACCCTCAACCATCATTCCTCTCACCCTGTACATTTTGCCTTTTATGACTAAGGTGACCTTTTGACAAACAAACCAACCAAAAGCTAGTGAATTAAGGGAACTTCCTTAAATCTCTAATTCCAGCTCCATTGGAGTGGAGGGCTTTCTTTTTTTTTATCTCCTGGCTTTGTTTCAAAACTACCTGCTTAGTATTTAAAATTTTTTACTGACTTTGTAATCCTTTCCTTCTTTTCATGTGTTTCATCAATAAAAAGTTGTTTATTTAATGGTACTTTTTATTCAAAGACATTTTGCTAGTCTTATGACCTGGCCAGAACAGGAGAGTTTCAGTAGCAAGGAGGGAAGAGACATACAACATAAACATGAATTGCATTTTTACATGGGCTGATGTAAACTATAATTAAACGTATCATCTCAGGGATGAAATGAACTCCTGGGACTCCCCATGTCTCACCTTCTGCATGAATTATGAATGAAATATAGCTACAGAGGAGAAATGCTGCTCATATTGTCCAGTCCTTTTCACTGGAAGAGTCTGCTAGAATGTGAGATGAGCAGACACCAAGAGACACCAACGGTTCCCTTCTGACTGCATCCTTCATGAAGATGTATCAAGGCCCCCAAATGCAGAGTTTAGCAGCAATTAACACAGAACAGAAAGATTCACAGAGGCCAAGAATTTGGAAGTAATTTCACTCTTGCTCAGAGTCCCGTCTTGGTTGCTGGTTTCAATACGAAAGAGGGTTTAAGCTTTACTATCCAAGGAAAATAGCAATAATTCTTAGATCTTTGCAAATTACGTAGGGGAGGTGGCAGAGGAGGGAAAGCATCAGTGCTGTAAAATGACACTAAGCTGCTGCTCTAATTCCCCAAAGAATGTTTTGGGGCTTTAGCCTCTGCTGCTGTTTCTCTGCTTGTTCTACATGTTCAGTACCAGCTTCCTCCAGGCTGCAGAAGTATCTGATTAAGCTTTTTATTAGGAACGCATGTTGTGGGCAGGTGTGTTCAGTCAGCCTGTCAGACAGCCTGGGAATGCACATGCTGCCGAACAAGAGAGGATGGAGCTGGGATGTCCCAAGCATTCTGCAGGCAAATGAACAGAGCAGGAAAGACGGGAAGAGACAAGCGTGCCCAAAGGGAATGAGGAAACATAAGTCTGTACATCCCTCTGCCCCTCAGTCATCTGAAGTTAACTTTTTAATAGAGAGTTGAAAAGTGTTCATAAGACAGCAGCACTGAACTAAAGTGCTGGAGCCAGAAAGACCGAATTACAGCAAGATCTACAGAAAAGGACCAGCTGGCTGCAAGTGTGCAAAATATGTGAAGGATGTGAAGGCAGATTTTAGGAGGTGTTTTATTGCTTGTGTAAGATCTTAGCTTTAGTCTACATCTGTCCTAGTGAAGATACTGGGCTCTTCAACTCTTCTCTCAATAGAAAAACTTGCCATTGGTTTTTCCATCACAGAGAACACATGCAGAGTCTCCTCCTTCAGGGCAGATGTATTCTAGGTTTCACTTCCAATCAGAGCTAATGAAGTGTGTATGCTCTCAACAGTGCAAGAGGGGGGAAATAAAGAGAACTGTGCTACAAGAAAGCAAAAAGCCAGCTTGTGAAAGAGCTATTGTGACCAGATAGCCAAAAAGAGGCAATCAAAATCCTTTGATTCCTTGACCATCTTTACTCTTTGGATGCAATTATGACCACTGAAAATCTAGCTTCTGCCAACAGCAAAGCATCTCTGGTGCGTTGCTTCTCACATAACATCTGCTGTCAAGGCTTGTATTGCCGCCTTCCTGGGAACCGTCCAACCTGTCAGTCTGCGTGAAAACAGCAGACAGGCAGGCAATGAGTTCTCTTGGTTGGCAAGACATTTCCAATTTCCATCCCATTCAATGGAGCCTCAAGAAAAGCCTAACCCTCCCCACTCCCAGAACTACCATATGGACAGCCCAGAGCTATGCCAGGTATTTCAGAACTAGAAATAACTCCTCTCCCTGCTGGCTGGCGAGTTGGGGAGATGCAAGATGAATCCTTGCTAAGATAAAAACAAAGCAGATTTCTTTTCTTGACAAAATAGTTGCTGTTGCATTTCCTAATTGGGTTGGTAGGATTAGTTTTACAGTGACATTTCTATACCAGTATAGACTTTAAGATGTTGTTACAATAAGCTTTTTCCTCCAATGTGTTCAATGCTAAAGCACTGAGAAAGATGTCCATACTGGGCCCTACAGCTACTTGTGTCATGCATGGTGACTGATATGCCCAAGTTTGATCGCATTCCAGATTAAAGGAGTTGCTTCTGCCTTCAAGGAATACAGACAAACTCTGAGAAAAAGCAGACTGAGACCTTATGTATCTTCAATGTATGCCCAGGAGCAGGATAATATAGTCAGCAGGAGTCAAGATGACAGCCAACACTGTGCTCACCATATGGGTTCAGGTTTGCTTTCCCTCTCCTTTGACGTGCAAGATCGAATTCAGTGAGCGTTACCCCAAGTACACAATACGGTGCACTACAGTTCCTCCATAGCCTCAAGGAATTGGTACTTCTAGAAAACAACCAAAACGTCCACAGCTGGATACTGCATAGTTAAAGAACATGGATTTCACACTACCATATCTGGGATAAAAAAAAAAACAAACAAAACCAAACACACAAAACACAACTCCTCACCCCACAACTTCTAAAAACCATTAGGCAAAGCAAAAAACTACAGAAAGCACAATTTTGCCTGTCCCTTGCCCTTCTTAATAGGGAACTGACTATTCTGGTCTCAAATGTGTGGCAGACAAGGAGGGAACTAGGTCACGTCCCTGAGCCCTCAAGTTCCCAGTCACGTTTTGTGTACGATCGATCTGGTCTTCCTGCCTGTCTGCAGCACAGTACCTACCAGGCGCTCTGGGAAGGACAGCAGCCTGTAATAAAATCTGCCTTAAAATGAGATAAAGAGAACAGAAAAAGATACTGGCAGGGATCAAAGAGTTTGACCCTCAGAGACTAAAAAGGGAGAGAACTGGCTGACTGTTTTCAGGCAAGGTCTGAGTGAGAAAGTGAAGAGGCTTGCTTTCTGCCTTACCTCAGCAAAGCAGAGAGGAAAAGCTCTCTTTCTCCCACTACACGACAAAATTATAGGAGCATCTCAGAGCCAGCAGGAGTTACAGGCCTGGGGCTCCAATACTCTACCTTTATTACAGGACAAGTAGAAATTTAGTTCACTCTGCATAGCTCAGCCCATATGGCTTCCTTGCACACAAGTATTTTAGCTTCATTTCCAGGGTTTAGGATTCAAAAATCCACTGCAACTTAAATCTCAGGGAGAAAGAGAGAGAAAATATATGCCTAAATCCTATTTTGTCTTGTAGTTCCCTCCTCTGTCTCCCCATCTGGCCCTTTGTGACGTTTTGCAGATGCACAGAAAATATTGTCATGTGCCTTTGGGAAGAAGCAAAGGAGAAAACACTCCCGGAGACACAGACCCCTCTATATCGGTGTGATCACTTAGCTCGGGGCCGTGTGCCGAAGTCAGTAAGCTGCCATAAAACAAAGGTCTATTCCATACGAACTCAGGACCATTTGTTGGCTGAACCTCTAGCCTGGGGCACAGGGCCCCGTGCCAGCTCAGGCATTTAGGAAGGATGCTCACAGTGACATACTTCTGCACTTTAAAAGTCTGGGATGTTCTGACTTCAAAGTCTGACAGTTGTTTCACCAAACTCAGGAACAGCACCAGCTCAGCCACAACAATCCTGTTCCAGCTAACAGCCCTTTATAAGAGGCAACAGGCTCTATTCTTCCAGATACATAGCTTTGCCTTTCTCATACGCGTGCATCGAAGCAACTCACAGACAGTTTTAACGCAGATCGTTTTCCCTGAAGGAGAACTAACTAAATATTAACAGCCAGCACACACGCCAGGGAGTCCATCCAACTCAGGGAACAGGAGCTTCTCCGTCTGCTTCCTTTTTGTGGCATGGCAAGAAGGGGGTCTGAGTCTCCCCCCCTCCCTGCAGTTCACTGGGTCACACAGATCATCCCAGCTAATAGGAAATGCAGGATCAAGACAGTGGAAAGTTGTACCAAAACCGTGCAGATCAGTACTTGGCACTCCAGAAGCTTGGAACTTCTCTATTTGTTATCCTTCAACGTTTAGTCAGGGCAAGTTACCCTTCCTTTTTAAGCCAAAACCGAAAGCTGAAATGTGAACGTTTCACCAGTCCACGTCCGTTTGTACTTAAAGCCATTAACCACCAAGTAACAAACCAAAGCAGATTAGAAAGATGCGGGCTGCTAACCCTAATGCTACAAAATGCAAGAGGACCGACGAAGTAAGGGGGACAATGGACATTTTGTTTCAGTTAATTTCACAGACAAGCGAGAAACAATTAACAGCGAACATTAACGACATTGAATTACTGCAGAGTACTTTAAAAAGCCTGTGGAAGACTCCAGTGAGGAAAGAGTTGATGAAAACATTTAGTGCGTATATCTTAGGTGTCAGCAGAAAGAAAATATGCTGCTTTCTGCTTCCTTAAAGTTTCTTTCATTTTCTGGAGCTAAGGATCTTTTCCCTTTTATTTCTTCACAACAAATGTGCACATGTGTGCTCCACCACCCATCACTAAGTCATGTGGAATAAGATAAATCCTTCTTCAGAAGGGTCTCTGGCTTTGTCAAAACATGAATTTCCACACCCCAACGGGGGACACAGAATGATTTGTTACTGTACGGTCGCATGTGATGCATTACTTCAGGTGTTAGGTTGCTGGTAACCATTTGCAATTCTTTCAAGCAATATTGTTCATAAGAACAGGAGAACAAAGAAATAAAATAAACATTTATGGAGGCTTTTTCAATCAAATGATACAAAATGGGGTGGAAAATATGGGCCGGCCTCTGTGCCTGGAAAAAACCCAAGCCAAACAGCATCTCCTCAACAATTGCTACCCCTCAATGCTCTCAGCAACGTACTTACCGCGATCAGGATCTGGAAGGAGCTGTGCATGACCTCGATGTAGCGATACTCCAGGGCACAGCCTATCACAGAGATGTAGGAATGGCTGTCCAGCCCTTTGATGCCAGACATTGAAGCCTCCTTCCTTACACAGCCAGGACCATTTTCACTCCACCATGATTGGTGCCGGGAGATGTTGAATGTCAAGAGTTCGCTGTCCTAAAGAGAAAAGTTGCAAAGAGATCCCCACTTACTATAAGAGTGTTGGACATGCTGTCGGATGGAGGTCATATTGACTCAATGGAAAACCGAAAGTTTCTGAGATCCCCACCCTCAAGAAATGCCAGCACAGATCAAAATACGTTGGCTTTATATTCCTTATTAAAAAGTATTTCACAGGCAGGCTTCTGTGGTGGGAACCATTTCTGAGGCAGTCCTGCAGCACTCCAACAAACCTCACGTAGTGTATTTTGGAAGCAGGTATGAGCAGCTTCTAAATTAGAAGGACAGTTTCTAGGCTGCAGACCCAAGAACGCTTTGCCAGTGGTTCCTGCACCCAGAAAAGAACCCTCAAGTTTTGGGTTTGGGAGATCAACCTTGCAAATCTAGAAGAAAAAGGTAAACAAGGCAGCACTAAGCATCCTGTCACAGAATCACGTGCTATGGGTATGTTCTTCCCAGCACAGGAATCAACACAGAGAACTGAAAAGTATGAACTTCATAACCCCAAAGTGAGTTTCAAAACCCAACAGATCTTCCTCTGTTCCTAGCTTTTAACACCTCTAACAAGTTCCCATACCATTTCTGTCTGATTTCCTTCCACACTCTTCACATATGGTGCTTCTGCATCTTCTGTTGACTTTACGGAGTCAGCCTCAGGTCAGATTACCCAGCTGAGCTGACCTCACGGTGATGATTGCAGCTTCTTGCAAACACTTCCCCAGCAATTCCTTATCATCTCCACCCCAAGAGAGGCTTTTTGTTTGGCTTTTCTCATCTTTGCAGGTTCAATAATTTAAACCATGCCATTGTGGGTGTTACATAGTGAAACGCCACACAAGTAGTGCAGGAGTTGGGTATGCAACCAGGTGCTTATTTAAAAATGACAACACTTTCCTCACACTTGAGAAAAGAGTGGCACTTGCTGGAGTACTGGGAGAGCTTTGGGATTTTGAGCTTACAGGACACGGCAAAGCCCTGCCCACAGACGGTAAAAGAAAAACTCAGAACTGGCTAAATAGATCAGCTGCATCACTTCAGGGATGTGCTGAGTGCCCCAGCAGCCCTCTCGGGTCACTTTGGTGCAGAACCAACAACCCCTTTTGACCGCAAAACAAGGTAAGGCATTGGAAGTCTTATCCTGAAGGACAGATCATAAAATCCTCAGGCAGAGAATCTGCGTGTCTCTACAGAGTAGACACAGATACTGGTTATTCACACCCCACCTGACCATTCCTAAATGTTTTAGCACCTATCCATATACTCCTTCACACTGCTCACACCAGGGTCCTGCACAGTCCCTGTAGGAAAGACGCAGCTCCCAGAACAGCAGCAGAGCTTGGGGTGTTCACACTTCCCATCACGGGAAACCTCACGGGGCAGCTCCTTTGCCACAGCTCCCTGGAGAGTCAAGAGGGGAAAAGACAGATTCAAAGCAGCTAATCCAGGCTCCTGCTCCGAACTACGCCCTGGAGAGAGGACTTGTCTCCGCAGCCAATACAAGGAGCCAGCCAGGTAGTCCTGCAGAGCCTTTTCCTTGTCTGCGTTTGTATCCAGGGACAAAACTGAGTTACAAGGGCAGAAAATTTAAATGCCATTCAGACAACCTGTGAATAGAAAGCAGCTGCCCTGCTATGCACATTGCGTAGTGCCCTCCACTCCACCACAGCTACTCAAAAACAGTTCGCAGAGCTGTTATTAAAATGTGCTGCAGGAAGCACATGTTAAGAAATGTGGACAATTAAGTGAGAAGACAGCTGCCAAACTCCTGATATAATCGCCACAACAGATGGGATGTGTTTTACAGTAGATGGAGGAGGGCACGGAGATGAAGTGCGGCACCAGTGCAAAAGCAGCCTGAATAGCAAAGACAATAGGGAAAACTCTATTAACAGTTGGGCGTTTAACGGGAGCTGTCTGCATTTTAAAGGCTATGGGGAATAATTATTAGATTGGCAGCCACAGGAAAATGCACACATTGCAAGGTGCTGTGCTGTCTTCATTTCTAGAGACAGTTTTCCAGCTTCTCGCATTTTTGGCAGCAGAGTCTTTGGCTTGCTCCCTCTGCTGGGCTTGGCTCCTCAGCAGCCCACAGATCTCTCACATCCCCATCAAATCCCATCCTTTCTGCAAAACCTGTTCTTTCTCTCCCAAGTTTGCATGTTCAGAGACACATGGATCTTCCCCAGCAAAAGCTTTTCCTCCTGGAGACAGCCAGCCCTCCAAGCTGCTGCGCTCTTCTCCCTCTCACAAACCACTCGCCACTTTGGTTGGGGAAGGAAAGAAGCATCTTTCTCAAAACAAGGACTCAATTCCCTTTTCGTTGCCTGGGGCTTCTCCCAATTAGCACAGAAACAAAGCTGTTCCACAGGGCACCACAGGATCTACTCTTAACCTCGGTCCCCAGGGCTTCCCTCTCCCAGCTCACAGATGGTGCCTTCCCAAACCTTCTGCCTCCCTGATGCCAAGAGCCCCTTCGGTGCCTTCTCTGCGCCTTACAGAGGCATCCGCGTGTCTTTGGCAAAGTAAGAAACAGGCTGCTTTCCTTCCTGAATATCTCTTTTGTCAGTCCTCACAGAACTGGCTCTGGCTTAACTTTGCTGGAGAAGCTGAACTTGCTTGTGAATTAAGCCTGAAAAAGCAGAACAGGTGCTGGGCTGGAGGTGGGCAGGTGGAGGAACAGTAGGTCCTAACCAGCACTCACTACTTTTTGCCTACGATCACGCTCCAGCTCTGTGCAAAAGAGAAAAAAAAATATATATACTTCAGTTAAGAACAGATTGGAAAAACTGAGCACATTTGGATTCTAAAAGCACCACAGCGACTCACACACAAGAGCCATCCATCTCACAGATGTAAAATGAATACAGATTGCACGCTGGGATCGTGGATGCCCTCGCATTCACAGAGACACCTTTCCAGAACAAGCATCTGTCTGGAGCACTGCAGGGCACGAGGGCAGCCTGAACGAAAGGGTCTCGACACGCAAAGCAATGCCGTTCCTTTGCTTGTGTCCCTGGCTGGGTGTCCTCCGAGGATACCTGCGCCGATGGCACACAGTAAAAAAGCATGCAAGAAAATCACTTCCTTGACCTCCAGTTGCTCAGTGCTTGCTGGGAGACTGGGAAAACAATCCCAGGATGTCTCCTGCGGTTTGTCAGCTTCGTTTGCGAGGAGATGGTTGAAGAGAAGTAAAACTACAACATAGGAACAGCGCACTAAAATCAGGAGAATAAAACTAGTTGCAAGAAAGTTTAGGGAACGGCTGTTTCCCAAAACCTCTCTGCAACACATCTGAAGTCTAAACACACTGAAATACTCCCAGAAGTGGTACGCAGGTTGGAAGATGTTAATCGGTCCCAGAAGTGAGCAAGGCCCGCTGTAGGGAGAGAGGGATCTGCCTGTAACTTCACTCTCCCTTATTTCTCGACAGGCTGCTATTTGAAGGACTATCGCTTCCTCTTTAACCTCCAGCCCGAAGAGAAATATGAGCCACGAGCGATACCGGCTCCTACTTGGGAGTGTGTTGAAAGCCAGCCAAAAAAAAAAAATCACATACCACTCTGAACTGTTGTAGCACCTGGTTGCCATCCATTTGCCATCGGTGCGAGAAAGACGACAACAGCACTAAAACTGTAGTACCTACATTTCACAGAGCCTATTTCCCACTCCCAGCCTCACCCCACTGTGTCCCATGGGGAAACTCGCACCAACCTCTGACACCCACAGAGCCAGCTGTGTTCCTTTTCTAAAATAGTTTTCTAAAAGCTGTTCTGAAATGATTTTCTAAGGGACACTACCAGAGATGGTTTTATTTCTTGTGGTTAACAGCCTTCTGAACCGCCTCCCCCCAAATTTCCTTCCTTACCAGGCAAGCCAGCACTGTAATGGCTCTGGAAACAAACTGAACCCTCTATAGGAGCCCCCAGAGCCTGACAGCAGAATAATTTTAAATCTTTTCAGTTGGAAACATTTCTTATCAAAATAGGAAATATAAAGTCATGTGTGCTGAATAGCTGTATCACCCCGAGACAACCGAGAAACACTTTCATGGTCTCTCAGCAGGCTTGTCGACAATGCCACAGCATTTAAAGGCCAAATCCCAGGCTTCCAGTTTCTAAATTTAGATGGAGTTGAGGGACAGTTGTAATTATGCATGCAGTTATCCAGCCTCCTCACAGTATTTTCTCCAGGTACAAAGTCATCGCAAGATGCCGTCCAGATTCTGTGCAATACAAATAACCCCCCATTTGACTAATAAGGGCTGCTTCCATTTCAAGAGGAGATTCAGACCACCGCCACGGCTCTGGATTCAGATCAAAGCACTGGGTAGACAAGAGAGAATATAAAGGAAGGGTAAAAAAAAAAAAATCCACCATCCCAAGAGGAATAATTCCAGAGGGAAAAGACAAAGGAATACATTGAAATACAGAACACCAATTCCTCAAACGTCTCGGAACATTTATCAAGTACATGATGAAGAGTCAATCAGCATGGCAGCTGGACAGACAGATGCTCATATGTCTTAACAGCAGGATTTTAATAATTAACTCAGACTGAAGGGTTGCAGGAGGGACTGTGTTTCACACTCCAGTAGACAGGGAGAAGCTTAACATGTTATTTCAAGCACAGCCTAGATCTGAAACTTCAGAGATAGCTCTCAGCTATTCACCTAACCAAATGGCCAGAGGAACAAAGAGGGAGATGGAAGAGGAACAGACCAGAGGAGGAGGAAGAGCAACCTGGAAATCTGGCTGTGAGCCCCACTGTGGAGCAGTGGTACAGCACTTTCGGAGAGGCTGTGTTTCCCCCAGATGCTGCAAGGATGCTCAGAAGCCCGAGCAGAGCGAGTCAGCAAGGCGATGCTGCCAAAAGCCGCTCGGAGGCACATCACCATCTCACTGCCAGCGCCGAGAAGCAACCCTTCAAACCCAGATTGCTGTATCTCTTGCCTGCTCGTTGGCAAAGCACTTGCAGGAAAGCTGGCATAGGCTACATGCTTAGGGAGGCCCTTGCAGCAACAAGAGAAGTGCTTTCTTAGACACTTAACGCTGATCCATTTGTGTCTGGCCACCTAATGAAGTTCTGCTCTGCCATATTTCTCGCTCTTAGTCCTACTAAGATGAGCTTGCAAGATTAAAAAAAAAGACAGGATAGAAAGATAGAAGGCAGGTCAGTTTAGCTCTGCCAAGAAGTAGAGAGTAGATTCACAGAGCAGGAAAAAGCATTTTCCTTTTTGATAAAAATAACTCAGAGCAGTTATAACTAGTGGTTAGGAGGCAGGTGGTTAGTAAGTAGTTATAACTACCCTGAGCAGGGCTGGCCAGAACAGCTGTTCTCTGGGTTTCCGTGGCCAGGAGAGAGCCAGCACTGCTGGCGGAACCTGGAGGAGAAAGGAGCACTTCAGGAAAAGTCGTGAAAGACAGGAGGAAAGAGGGTGAGAAGCGGTGGGCAGACAACCCAACGGAGGAAAGAGGCAGTGGACAAGCAATTGCTTGGTAAAGGAAAGCGAACATCCAGCCCCAAACTGCAGTTCAACAACCACTCACCTCCCAGCCCATCCTCTACTGATGACAGGGAGTTTATAACTGAGAGACGATCTCTTAACCCCTTTGCCAGATTGCTTATGGGCTGACGTGGGACCTTACCTCACAAACCCCACAGCCGCGGTGCCCCTGGTTTCCGTTTAGTACATCAGCTGAGCACCCAAAGCAAGGGGGGCACAAGAACCAGTGCCTGTGCTCCCCGCAGCCCTGTAAAGCACAGCGCTTCCCTGCTCGCATCTTGTGCTCCCTCAGCACTGTGAAATCAGATCTAGGCACCCGAGCATGAAGAATTATTTGCAATAAGTGCCCATAACTGTTTCCTCATTTTTTTTTTTTTCAATTCTCCAGGCTTTTCCTAAACTTGTTACAGCAGAAACACTTAAATCCTTTCTCCCTTTTCTCACCCCACCTGAGTTATCACCTGTCTCAGTTGCACTGGGCTGTCATTACCAGCCGCCAAGTTAACAAACTCCATTCTTTCTAGCTCACTGCCCTTTCTGCGTTTTGTCATTCTGAATTAGCGAGCTGCTGACAGAGATCTCCGGGGCCGGCTGCCCTTGTCAGGAACACAGAGGGGCAAGCGCAGGGCTGGTGGGAATGCTACTCCCCTGGCTCTCTCCCACAGGCTCACCGGGAATCACGGAGGAAACAGCACCTGAAGACCTTCCTCAGAGCCATCGGCCCCTTAAGGGACTGGCACGGGAGCACAGCCCTGACCGAAACACTCCCCACCATATTCATGCTCGGTCTAGTAGTTAATGACTTAGTGTTTATCTGACCGGCTCCATCAGCCTCGCTCTGCCAAAGCTCTTCTTCTAATATTTGCAATCTACCTGCTTACTGCCAGGCAAATCACAAGCTTTGGCTTTGACTTCTTAGGAACTAAAGGACAGCTTCATCCCAAGGTCCCTGAGGGCACACAGAGGTACCTGCTCCTCCGCAGCACTGCTGCCATAAACCCCAGCTGATACTGCCCTGCCCTGGCCCCCTCCAAGACCCCATCCAACACCCGCTCATCCTTCTGGAGTCTGATCCCAAGACCAACATCAATAAGACTCAGCTGATGTCAGCAGGCTTTGGATCAGGTTTCTAGAGAGCTAGGTTTCAGGGAGAGCCATACTACTCTTAAGTCCAGCCTGCAAAGCACCACACTGTCCTACAGAAACCTTAATTCCTGTTTCAAGTGCATCTTTTGTTCTCATGTGAAAGTGAGGTTTTGTTTTGCCATTAATAAGACCCAAATAACTTCAGTTAAAGGGGAGAAGGAGAAAAGAAAGCAGCATTATGAGTTTTTCTTACAAGACAGCCTTTAAGGGAAAGTAACTCATTAAGAACAGAGGCAAGGCTGTGAAGTATTTTACCACCAAACACACACAAATACTCTGTTGTCTTTGCCAGTTGCCACCAAACTAACAGCATGAATTTCTCATTGCCACTCTAGAGGGAAGTCCACTGAGTCAATATCAACTCATACTGCAGCCCAATCCTATTAAAAAAAAAAAAGTCTCCGATCACAAGCGTCATCCCGTAGGCTAAATAAAGTTTCTCTGCGTGCTGGCTTTGCTAAAACGAGCCACAGCACAGAGCAAGGTTACGAGATGAGGCTCCGCTGTCACAGAGCAAGTGGAGTTTGCCGTGCTGTTTGAATTGCAGAACAGCAACCCGACGTGTTGCAGGGCAGGTTGGGATTAGTAAACACAAGTAATCAGCTGGCTGGAAGCAAACACTGGCTGTCAGAGAAGCTCCCAGAGCAGTTTATCAAGCCAATATTTCCTCCACAGAAGGGAGCATTTAAATAGCTACATAAAATTCTTCTTTAGTTGGTCACAGCCAACACTGAGATCATCTGAGGCTGAGCTTTCAGAGCATGAGTAAGCACTGTTTTGGGCAAGAACTCTCTCAAAGTTTCTGTGGATAATTGAGAAGGGAAACGGAGATTAACTGAGGAATTAGGAAGTTACATTTTCTTATCTGCAAAGGATTTATGCTGTCGCTCATGGCTTGCTGTAGGCCTGATAAAAAAAACATAGTGCAGTTCCAATTATGACTGCAACTTAGATGTATGACCTGGGAATTTAGGCCAGCTGTAGAGTGCTCCGAAATGAACCTGTATCCTGTAATCGCTCCGAGTCTGCTAAGCTACAGCAACACTTAGTAATTCATTGCTTACAGCCCAGGCTTAATTTAGGGCCTGCCTCCCATTTTTATTATTTCTGACTCACCCCTCATTAAGCAGACAGCAATACTTAGCTTATCTAGCCTCCAAAGAGCTTCACATATTAACTCACAGCAGCCCTGGCCAACAGCCACGAATAACTGCCACTGGATTTAAGAAGGAAGAATTACGACGGGGAAGCCACATCACCCGAGGCCCCATTCAGAGGGGATGTGCCAGCTTCCCCAGCATCCCTCCTCTTCGCTCTCTGGTCAGCAGAGAGAAGAGCCTCTCCCAAGAGGTGCAATGGGAAATACTTTGCCTGATGTGACAATGACCAGGTACTGGTCCCTGCTGCTGAAGTGCACTAGGTCTTCAGCCGGACTAGGA